GACCTGCAAGACCCGACCGCCGCCCCCGCTGTGCCCGCCGGGCCCCGCGCTGGCACACCACGGCACGGCACCCATCGCTCCTGCGGGAACCCGGCCGCTCAGCACCGCCAGCCCCTGCTGAGCCGTGGGCACCTCAAGGGTCCCTGCCCCATCCTGACCTCCACCACCTCGAGAGACAGCAATGCACACAGCCTCCAAAATACAGAGATTTAATAAAACCAGCCGCGTTACTATTATTATTTACAGACCAAACATCAGGAAAAACAGTAGAAATGAGGAAAAGACCAACAACCGTCATATTCATAAATACCAGGGCCCAGCGTGCCCGGGGCTGTGCGCCCGCTGGCACCTGGGAGGGGATGCAAGCGCTCACAGACACTCGCACACACGCAGCCCTGGGCTGCTCGAAGCGGGAGGTCGGGTTTGCCCCCCGCCGCGAAGCACCCAGCTTCTCCCAGACCGTCAGCGTTAAGACGGGGGCCACCAGGAAACGGCCCCCAACCCGTGCAGCGTGGCCCCCTCGGTGGAGGCTGCAGGGGGGCAGCTCCTTCCCCAGGGCTGTGTCCCTGCTCCATGCAGGGGGGAACCGGCCCCTTACCCCCCACCCATGGGTGCTGGCGAGGAGCAGGGCAGGCAGGAGCTTCCAGCAGTGCAGGCAGGCTGACCTCACACGGGCTCCCGCGGGAATGGGCGAGGAGAGGGTGTTGGGGACCGGCCGCGCACCTGGGGACACGTGTGTCCTCTGCCCTCCCGCAGGCTCGCGGGGACCTGGCTCTCCAGTGTCGGCACAGGGGTCTGACAGAGCCAGAGCCAGCGGGAAGGATGCCCAGCCACCACACCGGGGCTCTGCCAGTGCCGCTGTGGCACGGGGGGCAGGGAAGCAAGGGGGGGCGGGGGTTGAGTTTGAGGGTCCTGTCCCCACCGAGAGGTCCCTGCTCCTCCCGGGACACAGCCTGCGCTCCCTCCCCGTCCGGCATTGCCTGCTCGCGAGCAACCCGTCCCCGGCACCCGCCGCCACCGCAGCACTGCTACACGTCAGAAACCTGCTGGGGCTCCCTGGCCTGGCGCAGCCCGTACAGCCACTTGATGACGCGGGCGTTGCGCTCGATGACGGAGATACCGTAGGGCACGCGCT